AGCTTAATTAACCCTCAGAAAAAAAAAAAAAAGAAAAGAAAAAGAAAGAAACTGTCACTTTAAAAAATTAAAAAACATGTGGAACAAGAGCTCTACAAATGTTGGCTACTATTATTATCATTATCGTCATATTATTCTATTATAGAAACAGGCTTTCTGCAGAACACAGCTTTATAGATTAACTGAGCATGTACCTCTTTGCCTTATTACTAATGATGGATAAATTAGAGACCAGAAGGATAAAAGGTTTTCTCTGAAGTAATATATCCTGAGTACTCCATCTTCTCTATTAATTATCACAAGCTCCTAGAAATCATAAGGCTAGTCAATTTCAACATAACGCAAATGTTGCTGACTGTTCTTTTGAAAATGGGTTTTGAGTTGTTTGTTTTGGATAAGAGAAAATTTATCAGAAGACTTCAATATGCTGTCTTCTATCGTTTCTTAAGATGTGCCACTTAATAGCTGTAAAGTACCTGGTATTTATGGACTACCAATTAAGTCATCTGCACAGAATTACAGCATCACCAGCCAAGACATACTCTGTGGCCATAACCGCAACATCTTTCTTTCTTTCTTTCTTTCTTTCTTTTTTTTTTTTTTGCTCTGCTTTTTAGCTGTGCTTGTCAGGTCATCATAAAGGCCAACTCTTCCTTAGTGCCCACCGAATTGATTAGCAGGATCAAAAGTAAAATACATGGCAACCTCACGCATGGAAACTTCACACAAGATCAATTGACGTTATTAGTAAAGTCTGAACACGTTACAGTGAAAATACTAGGTAATTTGGGGGGGGGGGTCCATATGAGTTTACTCCCTATAGCTCAAAATGCATACATAGTAGAGACCCCGAGTTCAGAGGGGAAACAAATTGTCTTTGTGTCCCCTTTCCTATCCTCATAGCTCACGTGCCCTGACAACCTAGAAAGGTAAGAACTTGTTAAAAAAACAAACTGAGTACCAGAGGGGTTACCAGAGAGCAATTGATCGGCTCTGGATCGTAGCCGTGGCCAGCTCATCAATGCAGTCGGAAGACCTGGAGAGCTTCCTCATTACACACAATAGCTGCCCAATAGATATTTGTTAGTTTATTGATTGATTCAACCAGCCTAGTCATCTTGGAAAGTGATCTGGGAACAGTCCAGAATTTCTCTCATGGGCATTTTCTTTTCAGATTAGCAAAGCTGTAATGGTAAAGAGAAAGTCTGCCGGGCTACTCTGCATCCTTCCCATCGCTGCCAGCATTCTTCCTATTCCCTAATAGACTGAGGGGGAAACGTGGAGCTAACCCAGATAACACACAGAAACCTGTAGAATGCACAGTCCTTGGCAACAGATGTGTTAAGTAGCAGAGGGCAGGCTGTGATTGCGAAAGGATAAGTGGGAGATGGGAGGCAGAGAAGTGCTGAAGCCGCAGGCAGAGCCCACCATGCACACGGTGCTAATGAAGATGTCCTGAGAGGGAGAGAAAGGCGCCTTTCAGCCTCACTCCGACAGAAGACTGGGATGGCTGGGCAAGGCTGGCTGGCCCGCTTCTCTGGCCATTTTGTCAACACCTGATGGAAACATTTCCAGCATCAGGGTCACAAATCCAGTAGTGAGTAAAAACTGGGACCTTACCACATAAACTTAACCCAGGTCACATCTCCCTTAAGATGACTACCCTTGGCAGCAAAACCTTGCCCTCAGCACCAACATCCACACAGAGCTCCCTTGACCATATTGGTGATGACAAATACATTGAGTTCACTAGAACCAGATCCACCTGAGTCCGTTAAGAAAGGAGAAACTATCAGAAATAGGGGCCAGCCTTTAGTCTCCTGTTGCTGCACCTCAAACTATTAACAATTGCCCTCAAAAGGAGGGCAGTTGGCAGGTGGAGACTCTGAATTTTTACTCTACACCCCTTTGTATAACTTAATCTTTTTTCAATGCATTTTTCAAAAACAAAAAGCAGAAAAACTGGTAGTTTTAATGCAAAGGATCATATGTGAGGTTGTACTGGGAGCCTTATTTAAAAAAAAAAGACTCCATTTAATGCTGTTTTCAGCCTGGTTTAAATTACCTAGTGGAAGTTTCCCCTTTTATTTGCTGATGTTTATGTACAGGGTGATAATGATGAGTCGTAATGGATGTTCATGAAACTTTTAAGTACCTTTTGCCCTTTCAAATGGGCATACATTTTCTCTGTAGAGCCGGGAAAGTGCAAAGCCGAAGAAACAGCCTCTAAATACAAAGGGACATATAAGTGGCTCTTAACCAACCCTACCGAGACAGCCCAAACTAGATGCATAAAGAATGAGGCTGGAAACGCCACTAGAGTCTGGTATGTACCATCCAAGATTTAATAGTTCAGATACACAAAGATCTGCTTAACTGGGGGCATGTTTCCATGTCATTTGTCTGAAGATGCTCCCTCTCTCCCCCTCTACTGCCCAACTGTTTGTCTTTCTTTCTTGCTTTCACCTTAAGAACCTGCTTACGCATGCACATGCAACATAATGACATTCCAGGAAAATTTTCAAGAAGACAAAGGAGAAATCCCATCGCCTGAACAGCACTGCTTTTAGATTGTCGTGTTTTTCCATCTAGCCTTTCACTGTATGCCTTTTAAATTTTGTGTAGTGGTATTCACCGTCCTTATAGCAATAATGTCATTTACCCTTTCACTCAATGGTTGAGCAAACATTTTCCATGTTTTGCATTCATCTTAATGACCATTTCAAAAAACTACCTCAGAAGCTATCTCCTTGATGGGCCATAGTAATTTACTAAATCACTCTTCTATTGTTGACTGTAACATTTTCCTTTTTCAAATCATCAGCCCCTCTTTTCTGACTCTCTGCTAACGGTTTATGCCATTAACTTAAGTGGGCAGGCCAGAGGGGCAGCACGTTTTCACAAAAACTTTAAAGCTCGCTTTTGGAAGGCGACATCTTGGACCAGGTCCTACCTCTTCCTCCCTCCATCCAATCACTTCGCAAGTCCTGCAGCTTTTATGGTCACAGTCAGAGCTCGCATCTCCCCTTTCCTTTTCAACCCCACTGCCACTCCCTTGGTGCCACTATTAGAGAAGTCTCTTTGCCTTCTGCCCACTACCCCCAGCTCTACTTCAAACCGCCGCCAGCGTGATTTTCCTAAAGGCTGGCTACCACCATGTCAGTCTCGCACTCCAGCTCCATGCTGCCTCAAGAATTAAGTTCAAACCCCTAAATAAAGTACTTAAGACCCCCAGGCTCCTTTCCTTATCGGTACTCCAGCCAAAAAGGGCCATTGCCGTTCTGCTCTTATGTCTCTTTCTCTGCTTGTGCTATTTGCTTTGCTTGATTAGGGCCTGGTGGGTAGGGGGTGGGGGGGCGCTTCCTCCATCTCTGCCCTTTTCATGCCCAGCTCAGCTCAAAAGCGGCAAATAGTTTTGTGGAAAGACCCCTGTCCTAGGTTTTTGGTGCTTGCATTCATTCGGGATTCCAAATCACTTGATTTGGAGAGAGAAAGGGGCCTCACCTAACTTTGCGGTTGACACTTAATGCTTTGGGGTCCTTTATTTGGCAGGGAGAGTTAGTAAAGTGAGGAATACATGATTTTTTGGAAGATAAGCCTGGACAGTTTGAAAATGGGCACAGCGTTTAACCCTAGAATTGCACCTTAACAACCAGCAGAGTAATAGAATATTCTGTTGCCCAGGGGTCCACTGAAATTTTTAAGCAATTCCAGAAGACACTTGAGTGTGGGAAGCTGTTAGGACAGTATAGTTTCTTGACCTGGGAGACCCAGAGACCCTTCCAGGGTCCCTATGAGTTGGAAACTTGTCATCATAACACTAAGATATGACTTGGCTTTTTTTTTTTTTACCATTCTGAAGTAAACTGAATTTTCTAACAATGAGTGGAAAACAGCTGCCCATGAGAACTTAGATGTCTTATTAAAGAGATCCATGTCTGTTTCTAATGTATTCAGGAATGATAATAAAGATGATTTTATTAAACAAAGCAAAACAAAACAAGTTGCAAATAAGTTCTCCTTGCTTGGTGGTTCAGTTGATTCAGTTTCGTTTATACAGTTTTTCATCTCATATCTTGCCTAATAAATGTAGTTATATCAACAGTCTCAAAGCACCAAGTTACAAGCTCCTCAAAGGACGAGACCCTGCCCTGTTTGTCTACAGAACCTACTACCAGGCCTAGGACAGAGAAGGTTCTCCATAAATGTTAAGTGATTTGAAATGTGCTGGCTTGCACTGGATGGAGCATAGAGAAGGGTGGATGGTGAGGCCCAGTGAGGTCAGAGATTGCTATACTAACTGCCTCGAGTAAATTCACATGCTGAGATAGAGACCATAATTTTAACAGGAATTTCATCTTAAGATGCGGGAAGAAGCAAAACTGAGGGTAGGAGTCATGTCCAGAGGGGCAGCATCTCTGCCTCAACTCTCGGTCCATGCCCCATCCCAGGCTTTCTCGCCTGTTTATACCTCTTGCATGGGGACCCTAGATTCACTCGCTCCCCATGAGTAAAGTTTTCTTCACTGCACAAACACTGGGCTCCCACCTTTGCAATATCTGCAGGGAGGCTGCGGGTGGGCAAAGAGGAGGCCTGCCAAGGACACAGCATTCTCCTTTACCACTCGCTTTCAGACTATTCCGGCCTCATCTTCCAACGATGAAGCTCTCTCCTCTCTTTTTCAGCTCAATCAATATCAACAGCGGCAAATCTCACTGGGAAAAACCAAAGTTTAAGCAATGCAAATTGCTTCAAGAGCTTCCTAATAAGATTGTGGATCTTGCTAATATTACAATAAGTGACGGTAAGACTGTTCTGTACACAGTAGAAAAATAACGGAACCTCAGTTAGTTTGTCTACTTGACCTGAGACCAGACAGAGTACAGGCAAACGTCACGTAGGAAGATCTACCCAGCAACAAACCAATTTCAGAGAGTAGGTAGTTAATGATGGTGGAGGTGGGAGTGGGGCATGAGAAGTTAGGACTGTCAGTGGTTTTGCTTTATAATGCTTATATGTATAATTTTGGGCTACTTACGATTTTTTGTTTTATCTCAATTTTAAAAAATGTTTTAATAGATAATACTTTACATAGTTCAATACTGAAAAAACAGAAAAGGGTATGCAGTGAAATCTTTCCTTCCCATTGCTGACCTCAGTCATTCAGTTAATATGCCCAGAGATATCTACGCATCTATAAGGAAATGTGTGTGTATTTATATGTATACACTCTATCCCTTTTTGTACACAAAGCAGAGCGTGCTATACACGCTGTTCCTCACCTTGCTTTTTTTCTCTTAACAAATACTGCAGAAATTATCATATAAGTATATGAAAAGCTTCCTCCTTTTTTCCACTGTGTTGTATTAACCACATGAATATGCCACAATTGATTTCTTTAACCTGCTTCCTGTGGATGGGTACTTAAGCTGTTATTATACTTCATTTAAAAAAAAAACTGCTGTAATGGATATCATGCTTATGTCATTTTGTAGGGTATACTTGCAGCATAAATTCCTAGAAGTAGAATTGCTGGGTCAATCATTCTTCTGATGATGTCAAAATGCTCTCTGTCCTTGGAGAAAAAAAATGCTGTCTGTAATAGTTGCACCAACTTATACTCCCACTTGCAAGGTGTGAAAGCCTCCGTTTTAGAACATCTTCACCCACACAGCATGTTATCAGACTTTCGGATATTTGATGATTTGAGAAGTATACATTTAAGTCTTTTAAATCCACTTTGAGTTGATTTTTGTGTGTGATGTAATATAAGGGTCCAATTTCATTCTTTTGTATGTGAGTATCCAGTTTTCCCATTTGTTGAAGAGATTCTTTTCTCCCTATTGTGTATTTTTGACATCCTTGTTGAACATCAGTTGATGGTATACGTGTGGATTTACTTCTGGGCTCTCTATTTTGTTCCATTGGTCTATATGTCTGTATATATACCAGCATCATACTGCTTTAATTACTGTAGCGTTGTAATATTTTGAATCAAGGTGTGTGATGCCTTTGTTCTACTTTCTTAAGATTGATTTGGCTGTTCAGGATTTTTTGTGGTTCTATATGAATTTTAGAATCGTTTTATTTACCTCTGTAAAAAATGCTATTGGCTAGACTAGTTCAGTGAAGTCTATTTCCCCTGAAGTGTACATCCTTTGATGCTGCTCCATAGAAGATGCAGCCTTGGGAAGGTACACATTTTCTCAGACCACCAGGGATGACTGTGGTTCTAGCCAAGTCCCCTCTCTAATTTCCCCACTAAGATTCTGGCTGGTCTGCCTCTACTGGTGTCACACCCAGCTGGTAGCCTCCTAATTTATAGTTGATTTCTGTGTTGTTTTTGACAAAACCCTGGAGCGTACATTGCTCCACAGTTTGATCCAATGAAAGTCTGCCCCCTTGTCAGGGAAAGAATATTAAGTCTTTGAGGCTTTCTCCGACCGTCTTCTGGGAAAAATATCTGTCCTATGGGGCAACAGCTTGGGGGTGGCAGCGGTGGTGAATATGCCCTTCACCAGGTGCCTCACTAGGGTCTCCCGTCTGGAGCAGGAGCTGTGTGTGCCCAGTATAGATCTTCCACAGCCCAGAGATGGAGAGGTGGGAACCGCTAATGTTCACTTGCCATCAAATCCACTCAGAATAGTTCTTCCACCCAAGGGACTTGGGGGAGATGGCAAGTGCCACTTGGCTGCCTGGTCCAGTGGAACAATTCTTCCACAAGCAGAGCTTGGGAGGGTGGGGGGGGGTGGGAGCACTTCCGAACTCAAAGGCCATGGCCTCCCACTGCACTTACCACGTTTCTGTAGATTTTGTTGAATAAATGCTTCTCAATCTGTTGTCAGATCTCCCATCAATCTCCAGAGGCTTTGAATGAATGTTTTTTTTTTGCTAATTTTGACCAGCACAATAGATGTTTGTCTTGGTGAACTTTTCCCCAAGCCTCTTTTTACAGCCCTGACCCTGAAAATCCCGTTTTTTTTGAAGTATGCATATAGGTTTTCCTCCCAGAATTTCAGTTTGTGCACACCTTGTCAGGCACAACTCTATTGCATAAACTGAGTTCCTCCCATCATGAATAGTTGGAAATTGAGGTACAGGCATTCCTGTGCTTTGCAGAAGAGCTAGGGAAGAGCCTTGAGGCAGTGAACTTCTGAGACTTGTCTTTTTGCAGAAGATGGAAATTTGAGATCCTTGCCAAGGAATCTCTAGAAGAATTAGAAAAGCAGGCACAGCTCTGATGTTTCTAGATCTGAAATCACGAGTCAGGGCACTAGAGAGGGTTGCAGCTTGGAGTGGGCGGCAGGACAGAGAAGTCTGTATTTCCTGCTGACTTCCCTCTTTCTGAGTGACACATTTTTCTTAGACATGCTAATAGAATGTTCTCTCTGGAAGAAAAAATTAACAAACAACCATAACAACAACAAAAGCATTGCACTGGGTTGAGATTTTTAGAAACTTAACTGTCAGAAGTCATTTTAGTAAAACAAAATCTGCAGAGGAACAGAACAGTTGGAGGGTGGCCATAACGTATATAACTGAAAAATAAACTATCACATTTACTAGCTTTGGAGGAATCTTTCTCTTTTTCTCATAGGTTAGGAGCTTGACAAAAAAAATGAATACAGTGGGAAGGAAAGAAAAATGTATTCACATTGAAATAATTTTTCTTTAGTTTTCAATCTTGCTGACAAATATTAGCATGGTTGGAGAAAACTTATAAGAACCCCCACTTAGATCGTCAATTCATGTAACTCCTTAATATCACAGTTAGAAAACGTACCCTTGTTTCAAAGTTCTGTAGGTTCTTTGTTGTGCTCTGTTTTGGTTGCCTCCAAGATACTGAAGATGCAGCGCACTCTGAAGTTGGCTAGAACTTTTCACAAAACTGTCTCCTGCCTGTGTTCATCCCACCATCAGGGCAGCAGAGAGTGTGGCTGAGAGAGAACAGTGTAATTCCCAGGATGCCAGGTAGAAGGCCTGCACAGTACAGCTGTTCCAACCCCCAACAGCAGGCAGAAAAGGGACAGAGGCACAGATGCTGTAGTAGAAAGTGATACTGAAGAACGCTAGCTTTGGAATCAAGCAGGTCCGGATTGAAATCTGGCTTAGAACCTCTGTGTCTTGGGGGAGGGAAATAGCTCCGTGGTAGAGTGCATGCTTAGCATACATGAAGTCCTGGCTTCAATCCCAGCACCTCTATAAAAAAAGAAAGAAATTCTGTCTTAATTTCTTAATCTGTATAAAGGGAATAATATATTACCCACAACATAGGGTTATTTTGATAAGTGGATTAAAAAAAGTGTATGTATAATGCCCTGCTGTGGTATCTTGTCTCCAAAACACCCACCATAGATTCACTCCCTCCTTGTCCACTGGGAGTTAAATCACGGCTGGCTTGTGACTGCTTAGTCCAACAGAAGTGGGCAGTAGTGATACTGTGCCAGTTGTGGGACTAACTTTTAAGAAGACTGGAAGCATCTGCTTCCTTTCTCTTAGTATGCTCTCATTTGAGATTCTTCCTGTCAGAACCCAGACGCCATGCTATAAGCAGCCCAAACAGTGGTGTGCTGGAAACTGTTTAACAGCCAGCTCTACTGAAAAAAAAGGTAATAATTTGTAGCATTTGCTGATTTCTTTGGTGTAATACTCCTCCCATGGCTGAATACAAACTTCAACATGTAGTCAGTGAACTTCAATTTGGTAAAAGATGCATGGATACAGTAGATATAAACAACCATAAGAGCATAGATTATTAAAATGTAGTAAAATAATTAGGAAGTGATGAGCTTTGAGCATCACCATTGTTTTTAATATAACTTATTTAATTGTAAGTTTATATAATTTAACATTGAATAATGACTCACAAAGTTCCTGAAAATGTGACATTTGGTTCTCACAAGTTGATACAAGCTGGCTCCGGCACACCACCAGCCAGTGGGAAGGGCCATGTATAGGAAAGAACTTCAACTGACCCAGGGGACCTTCAAATGCCAACAGCCCCCACTGACCAGCCCATCAATTGCCAGCCATGTGAGTGAGCCATCTTGGACTTGCATCCCAGCCCAGCTTTCAGATGACTCCAGTCCCAGCTGCCATTTGATTAGACCTGCATGAGCGGCTCCATGACTAGCTGAGGCTAGTCAACACACAGCACCCTGAACGATAACAATAAATTGTCTTACGTCATTAAGTTTTGGAGAGGTTTGTTACACAGCAGTAGAGAACCAGAATACTGGCTTATAGAAATTGCTCAATAAGTAACAGATGTTATTATTGTTTTGATTGTTGTAATTACCGGCAGACAAATTTTAACCATTTCAAGCAACGGGGATCTATTTATTCTACAACTAATAAGGGAAGATTCCTTTGATTGCTTTTGCTTGGGGACTTAGAATTTTTACACAATGAGAGTAATTTGTCCCTGAATTTTTCTTAAAAATCATGTGACTCCTGATGAAAAGTTTGTAACTACTTTCCACAATATAGTTAGTTTTCCATTGGCCTGTTGTTTACTTTCATTCTGCCACAGCTGAGACTGCATGAAGTGAAGTCATACCACTGAAGCCCAAAGAATAATGGCTCCAGGTAGGCAGCTCTGGCTATCCCATTTACAAGAAAGCCTGAACAATTTAATAAGAGCAGTAGAGAGATCTGTGAATGAGCACACTCTATTTTTCTTTCATCCCTAGTCTTATTGTTTTCTCAGTTTCTTTAACTGACCAGAAGATAGATGTAGTATGGACAAAATATTAATTTAGAAGCAATTTCAACTTATTCAGGCTTCTCCCTTCCTTCTGTCTCCTCAGAGAGAACTCTCTTTGCTGCCTCGGGTCCTGCGTAAGGCATTGTTGGGCAGATTGGAGTAATGGTTGAGGAGAGAAAATTGAGAGGGTCTCAGTTAAGATTGCTTAATTTACATTGACTAGGACAGAGAGTTGTTTGTGAGGTGGGGGACGACTAAAGCAAGAAAATGAGAGGAAAAGAGGAGAAACAAAAAACACAACAACCTGTGTGGGCTATGTTGGGAGTAAAGTTGTGCGGGGCTTGGGGCAGGAGAGAGATTTAGGGCGATGCCACCAACTGTGGAGGACATTGAAAGAGAAGGAGAAACAGAGGAAGAAAGAGTCGGTTATTTGTAATCTAACCTGGGTTAAGTGTGTTATAAGTGTTATCTCTCTCTAGAATTTTTCTCAACCGATTGTATTTTTTGATTATTTTCCATTGTATTTTAGTTATTGGACTTGAATGTGAGTGCTTGAAGATAGGAAGGCACCATGAGGGAGCCCAGCTTTTTATGGGTTATATGGAACTAGAATCTAATTTTGCTTAATTTTGTATTTGTTTAATGAAGGTCTGAACTTTAAAAGTGGATGACTGAAACCAAAAACTATTTTAAAAAATCATTTATGAGATATAAGGATATTTGGGCACCGGCTAGATATTTGATGACTTTGAGTATTATTATTAACTTTTAGAAGATACGATACTGGCATTGTGGTTATGACAAACAAAGATCCTTTGTTTTACAGATGCATATGGATGAAATGATATGATGTCTGGGAATTGCTTTAAAATCATCTGGGGTTGGGGGAAGGTGGGTGGGATTGTAGATAAAACAAGGTTAGCTCTTCCACTTGTGGAAGCTAGGTGATTCATAGGGTATATGGGGATTCATTATACGATTCTTTGTACTTTTGTGCATATTTTAAAATTTCCATAATAAAAAGTGAAAAAAGTGGGTGAGTTAATAGCTATTGTTCTTACTATCTAGAAAAATCTAACTTAAGTTGCTTTTTTATTGGTTATGTGGCTCATATTTGCTATTGTTCTGTGTGTTGCTGGTTCTTGACAGAAAAATATAATCACCACCCTTGATTATGAAAACATAGACTGAGTGCTGATATTTGAGTACAGTTGGGATCTACTTAGTTCAATCCAATACTCAAAAGTCTTAATTAGAATCTAATTGCAAGATAATCTTTAGCAACAAGAAAGGTTTCTCTGGGGGAGTATTTAAAAAAAGAATTTAATGAATAAAAACTTGACTTATGTGCTACTTTCTGGGACTCCATCGACTGTAGAAATTGAGGCCCAGCATTTCCGTCTGTAAATTTTGTTAACTCGGTGTGTATTTCCATTTCACTGCCTTTACTTTTTAAAGGGAAGGAAGCAGATCAGCATGGCCTCAAACTAGGTATTGCAGGTTTTACGTTTCAATTTTCTTTCCCCAGAGAATGCAAATGATGTTGCAGAGCACATTTTAAATTTAATAAATGAATCCCCTCTTCTGGGTGAAGAAGAAACAAAGATTATTGTTTCTAAAGTATCTGATGTTTCACAATGTGATGAGATAAGTATGAACCTAACCCAGACTATATTACAAATAATCGATGCTGCTTTGGGAAAGCAAAACAATTCATTATCTGATCTACATGAAGTAAGCAATGAGTAAGTACTAATACTTTGGTAAAATAAATTTATTTCAAAATATTTAAAACATATATTATTAATTCCTTTGCATACCATCATCACCAATTTTAAAGGTCAGGTAGCTCGGCATTGACAGCCCAGTTAGGACAATACAATGGGGTCATCCTACTGAAATTCCAATTGTGAAAGAATGCATTCAAATTTTAACTGAACCTTCATGATAGCAACTTTCCAAATAAATAGTTACCCCAAACCAAACCTCCAATTTTTTTCCAGTCGTGGTGCTCCCCCAATATTCCCCATTTCTATAAAATGCATCCACTCAGTGCTCAAGCAAAAAACTTGAGAGTAACACTAATTACCTCCCTCTACCTCACAGCCAAACAATAACCAAGGCTTATATGAGTCACTGTACATAAATTTTGTTGTTATTGTTTTTAAAGTGAATATAAATATATATTTATGTATAATTTCAACTAATGCAAAATTTTGTGTTTTCTTGAAGTATAGTTATTTACAATATCATGCTGTGCATCATTTTTTAAATCCCTTAAATATTCCTGAAATGTGTCTAATTCTCTCCATTGCCACCCTAGTCCTAGCTCCATTTCTCTCAGCTGATCTTCTACAATAACCTCTTAACTGGTCTCCCAGTCTCTGCTCTTGCCTCTCTATGGTCTATCTTCTACATAATTGCCAAAATGATCTTTTAATGTATATATTAGATCATATCATTCTCTTGCTTTTAAAACCACTCAGTGGCTTTCCATCACATATAGAATAAGATCCAAATTTCTTGAGGCCCTGCAGGATCTGACTTTACATAATATATCAATTTCACTTAATCCTTAAAACAATCTTTTAAGATGAGTACTCACATTAACGCAGACTTTGCAGGTGAGGAAACTGAAAGTCAGTGAAGTCATTTGACTTGCCCACACAGAAATTGGAGGAGCTAAGATTTAGACCTCAGCCAGGCTGACTCCAAAGTCTGTGATCTTATTTACTAATTTCTGAGCAACATAAAGATAGTGATTAAAATGCAAAGAAAAATTTCACATTGAGGAAACCTTATAAGGAGGATGAGTTTTACATTAAAAAGCTAGGGATACTATTCTTTTCCTGTCATTTCTTGCAGAATTCTGAGGATAATCGAGCGTGCTGGTCACAAGATGGAGTTTTCTGGAAGGACAGCAAATCTGACGGTGGCCAGACTGGCTTTGGCTGTCCTGCGGGTGGACCACACATTTGAAGGCATGGCCTTCAGCATTCGCTCCTTTGAAGAAGGCACAGACCCTGAGGTGAGTTCAGCTCCTTTGGTCACTTTTGGCCCTGTGACCCCAAATCATCTCAAATGCCAGTTTATTATTAGTTACCATTTATAGAACACTTATTATATGTTGGGCATCGGGCTACCGTTTCATCTGTACGGATAAGGAAACAGAGAAGTTAAGTAATTTGCCCAAAGACACACAGCCTAATGGCTGAGCCAGGAGTCAAAGTTATGTCTGTCTGGGTTTACAGTCTGGGCCCTTTCCCCTACTCCACACTACCTCAGCCTCTGGCAGGCCATAGGCCACCAAACCTTGCTTCAACAGTTTGGGAGAGCAGCATTTTTAAATTTATAGTTAAAAAAATTATAAAATTTACATACAGGGAAATGCACAAATTCTAAGTATACATTCTGTGATTTTTGACAAATGTGTACATCTGTGTGATTCAAAGCCCTATCAAGATATAGAACATCACTATCACCCCTAGAAGTCCCCTCATGCCCATGGCAACCACTGTTCTGATTTTTTCATTTTTACTATAGTTTTGCCTATTCTATAACTTTATATAAATGGAATCATACAATATGTACTCTCTTGTGTAAGGCTTCTTCTATGTACTATAATGGGTTTTTTTTGAGATTCATTCTTTTGTTTCTACAGTTTGTTCTTTTTATTGCTGAATAATATTCCATTATATGGCTTGTACCACTGATTATCTATTCTCCAGCTGATGGACATTTGGATTGTTTCTAGTTTTTGGCTATTATGTTTAGTTCTACACTGAAGATTCATGCAAAAGTCCTTGTGTAGACATATGTTTTCATATATCTTGAGTAAAATACTTAGGAATGGAATTGCTGGCTCATAAGATGTATGTGTAAACTTGTAAGAAGTGAAGATGTATGTTTAAATTTGTTTTCTAAAGTCAATAATGATGTGGAGTGATTTTTGATTTTTGTATTGACCATTCATATATCTTCTTTGGTGAAGTATCTGTTAAAAAATTTTCAGCCATTTTTAAATTGGGTTGTTTGTCTTTTTATTATTGATTTGTAGGCATTTTTAAAAACAAGTTCTGAACACAAGTCGAATATATGTTTTAAAAATATTTTCTCTGTGGCTTGCCTATTCATTTGTTCAGTGGTGTCTTTTGATGAGCATAAGTTTTATTTTGATGAGGTATAATTTATCAGTTCTTTTCTTCTGTGAATAACAACATATGACTTGCCTATGAAATCTTTGCCTAACAGCAGGTCATGAAGATACTTTTTCCTTTAAAAGACCTATGGTTTCAGTTTTTTACTTTTAGGACTACAATCCTACTTAATTGAATTTAATTTTGTGTACAGTGTGAGGCATGGTGTGGTGTATGGTTTCGAGTTAATTTTGTTCCATTATTGAAGACTTTTCTTTCCCTTGGCTTGCTCTGGCAATGTTGACAAAATAGCAAATACTCTCGTAAATGCAGGTCTACTTCGGAACTTTCTGTTTGGTTCCATTAATTTTTTTGTAGATTCTTAGGCCATTATCACACTATCTTTATTCCTGTAGTCTTGAAGTCAGGTAGTGTGAGTCCTTCAACTTTGTTCCTTTTCAAGATTGCTTTGGTTATTCTAGGCCTTTTGCACGTCCATGTGAATTTTCAAAACGTCCTTATCAATTGGTATTAAAAAAAAACTTGCTGAGATTATAACTGGTATTGAGTTGAAGCTATTGATCAATTTGGGGAGAATTGATTTGGTAGGATTTGGCCTCCTGATCAGTTTGTCAATGTCTGATCTATAGGAGTAATCCCTCTTTCATTCTTGATAATTTCTTTTTCTCTCTTCTTTTCTTGATCAGTATAGCTAGGGTTTTTCAACTTTGTTTATCCTTTCCAGTAACCAGCTTTTGGCTTTGCTAATTTTTTTGTTTATGTTCTATTTTGTTGATATCTGCTCTTTATTATTTCCTTCCCTGTATTTTGGGTTTTCTTTGCTCTTCCTTATCTAGGTTCTTAAGGTAGATTCACAGACCATTGACGTTAGATCTTTCTTCTTTTCTAATTTAGTTATCAAAAGCTATAAATATCTCTCTAAGCACTCTGGTAGTCTACAAATTTTGATATATTGTATTTTCACGGTCAATCAGTTCAAAATATTTCCTATTTTCTTCTTTGATCCATGGATTATTCAGGAGTGTATTCATCAAGTCGCAGATATTTGGGAGAGATCTAAAATATATTATTGCTACTGATTTCTTGTGTATTTCATTTTAATCATGGAATGTACTCAGTATAATTTCAACCCATTGAAATTTATTGAAATTTGTATTATAGCCCAGTGTATGATCCATTTTTGTGTTTCATACGCACTTGAAAAAATATGTGTTCTACAGTTATTGAATATATTGTACTATGAATATCAGTTAGGTCTCAAGGTGGTTGGTAATGTTCAGATCATTTATATCTTTATTCATGTTTTTCCTTAATTGTTTCCTAGTTTAGAGGGATGTTAAAATCTCCAGCTTTGATTGTGAAATTGTCTATTTCTCCCTTTAGTTGTGTGAAATTTTGCCTTGTTTATTTTGGGGCTCTGTTATTAAGTGAATATACATTTATGTTGTTTTGTCTTCCAATAATAATTCTAATCTTAACCTATTTATGAAATAGCCCTCTTTATTTCTGATAATATGCTTTGTCTTTTTTATCTGATTTTAATATAGTCATTTCAGCTTTCTTATGCTCACTGTATATATATATATATATATATATATATATATATAATGTTTTTATCCACTTACTTTCTATTTATGATATTTATATTTAAAGTGTACTTCTTATAAATAGCACATAGTTTGTATTTCACTTTTTTGTCCATCCTGAAAGTATTTGTCTTTTAATGGAGTGTGTAGTCCTTTAATATTTAACATCTTTTTTGTTATGGTTAGATTTAAGACTACTATTTTTTTTTCTATCTGTCCCTCTGTTTTTTTTCTCCTTTCCTATTTCCTTTTTTGTTCATTTAAATTTTTTTTTATAATTGAATTTTTTTAGTGTCTCTTTAGTTATATCTATTTGCATTATTTTTTAATGGTTACTCTACAGATTACAATATGCATCCTTATATTTTTGCAGTTTACTTAGAGGTAATATTGTATCACTTCATGTAGAAATGTAAAATGTAGAAACTTTAACCATATTTATCCATCTATACCTTCTGTCTTTTATGTTATAGTTGTCGTATATATTGTAACTAGGCAGATGAGAAACCCCACTAGACAATGCTATAATCATTGCTTTAAAGAGTCCTATGAAATTGAGAGAAAAAAGTAGTCTATTCTGTTTATTTAGATATTTATCATTGTTAATGTTCTTTCTTTCTTCCTAAAAGTCAGCATTCCATCTGGTAACATCTCCCTTCAACTTGAAGAAATTGACTTAGTATTTCTCATATTTTAAAGTCTGATGGTGATGAATTTTGTTAGTTCTCATCTATCTGAAAATGTCTTTATTTTGCCTTTATTCTTGAAGAGTATTTTTGTTTACTAGAAAATTCTGGATTGGCAGCATTTCCACCCCCTACCCCGCAGCATTTTAAAGATGTTGCTCCATTCTCTTCTAGCCTCCATGTTCTCTGATCAGAAATCAGTATTCATTTGAATTTTTACTCCTCTGTGATATGTAGTGTGACATTTTTCTCTGGTTGCTTTCAATATTTTCTTTGTTTTTTTTTTTAAAGTTTGACTATTATGTGCCTAGGCATGTTCTTCTTTTTATTTATCTTGCTTGTGGTTTGCTGAGTTTCTTGAGTCTGTAAATGTATATCTTTCACCAAATTTGGGGAGATTTCCACCATTATTTCTCTAAATATTGCTTCTTCACCATTGTCTCTCTACTCTACTTTTGCGATTCCAGTTACATGTATGTAAGATTTTTTGATGCTGCCCCACAGCTTCCTGAGATTCTGCTCATGTTTTCAATCATTTTACTATCTAGCCTTCTGATAGTATAATTTCTATTGATTTCTCTTCAAGTTCACCAGCCTCTGTCATCTTCATGTTATGATTGAACCTACTCAGTGCAATTTTAAAATTTTAATTTTGTACTTTCAGTTTTAGAAAGCCCATTTTGCTCTTTTCTTCTTCTGTTTCTCTGCTGTTACTTCCTCTTTTTGCATTAATTGCAAACATATTTCTTTTAAATACCCAAGCATAGTTATACTAGCTACTTTAGGATCCTTGTCTGCTAACTAATATCTGGGTCATCTCAAGGTTGAGCTTCACTAATTGTCTTTTTCACTTGAAAATGGGTCATATTCATTTTCTCAACATATGGGATAATTTGGGATCCTGTCCATAATTTTGTGAATGGTATATTGTGGAGACTTTGGATTCTACTATATTTCTCTGAAGATTATTGTTATTGTTATACCAGACAATTAAGAGTCCATCTCTTGGATGGCAACTCAAATCTCAGTTAACTCCTTTATCCTTAGTTGGAGTCTGTCCTGTACATATGCGGTTCAGAGGTCAAGCAGAAATTATACTCAGGATTTTGGCTTCCCATTGCTAGCTCTTTCCTCTCAAAGATCTCCTCCTGAGCTTCCAGTAGCTGAGGTTACACTGACCTTTGTTTTCTGCTTCTTCATGCCACAAAGACTGCAGGTTTTCTATCAGAATTTTGAGTGTCCTTCACAGTGTTTGTTTCAGCTGCCGTCTGGCTAAAAGTTCTAAGAACAGGTAACTCACCTTGTGATGTCACCTTTTTCCAAGTGTCTACTCTTCTCCAGAATCTGCCTGCTTTTGTTCATTTGCCAGTGTCTTCAGGTCATTGCTATTTTGTGAAGTTGTTATATGCAGGAGGGTTGAGTCTATTAGGAGCTAGTCAGCTGTACTGGAAGCAAATGCCTTCTCACTGCCTTTTGTTTATGTGTAGGGTTTTTTTTTACAATTAATCATTTTATTTATTTTTTCATATTCTTTTTCATTAAAGGTTATTACAAGATATTGAACATAGTTTCCCATATGTGTAGGGTTTTCTATTGTAA